TGTCCGTTCGAGGACGAACGATTATTTTAGAGGTGGAGAATGTGATGACCCGATAGGTCATCTTATATTTTTTATCCTAATTCTGCGTTTCAAGGTCTCAAAAACCTAATCTTAGCCTTTCTCGATTTGCATGCGCAGTCCGAGTGTTCTTCCGGAAGGCTTATATGTTAAAAACTGATAAAAAGAGAATTTTTGCCTTAAAAATCAATTTAAATTGACTTCGGTCAACATTTTTAGTAAACGGACCCAGTTCCATATTTTGACAGTCCCGATAGGTCCGTATCATAATTTGGGACCTGGGCGTATGCCCGGAATCGAATTTCGAGGTCCCTAGCTCGAGATATGGAATTTTGATGAAAAATTAAAAGTTTAGAAGTTTAAGGATTTTTGGAATTGACTGATGTTTGGCCTTATTGATACCGGGTCCGTATTTTGGTTCCGGAGCCCAGTACAGGTCCACTATAATATTTAAGACTTGTCTGTAAAATTTGGTGAGAAACGGAGTTGGTTTGACGTGATTCGGACGTCCAGTTGTGAAAATAGAAGTTTTAAAGTTTTCTTGAATATTTCATTTGATTTGGTGTCCAATTCGTAGTTCAAAGTGTTATTTTGGCGATTTGATCACGCGAGCGAGTTCGTATGATATTTTAGGACTTGCGTGCATGTTTGGTTTGGAGCCTCGAGGGCTCGGGTGAGTTTCGGATAGGCTTCGCGGTGTTTTGCACTTAGAAAAATCTGGGTTTTTTGCAATTTCAGGTGCCTTCTGGTTTCCTTCTTCGCGTTTGCGAAGGCAATCTCGCGAACACGAAGTAGAAACTGGGATGTCAGGGTTTTTCTTCTTCGCGAACACAAAGGCTGGGTCACGAACGCGGAGCGATGGGGGCTTTACCCTTCGCAAACGTGACCAGCTCAACGCGAACTAGTAGTGTTTGGGACCTGGGGCAGGAAGTCAGTCACTCTTCAACGCGAACGCGAGCAAGGACTCGCGAACGCGAAGGCCAAGGAGGCGTAACCTTCGCGAATGCGCTAAGAGTTTCGCGATCGCATAAGCTTGGCAAGCTCTTCTCTTCTCGAATGCGACAGTGTCCTCGCGAACGCGATGAACACTGTCGCCCAGCTATTAAACAGTCCCATTATGGGACTTAAGCCATTCTTTCAACTTTTCAAAAGCCAAACGGCCTAGAGACGATTCTCCCAAGCTAAATTCTTCCCCAAAGTGTTGGTAAGCGATTCTAAACCATTTTCTTTCAATTACCCATTATATTTCATGAATTTCCAACCTAAAATCTAGGATTTCCATGGTAGAAATTGGGGGTTTGGGTAGAATTAGGGATTTTTGGGAAATTGGTATTTAGACCTCAAATTGAGGTTGAATTCCAAAACTAATTGCATATTCGGGCTCGGGGGTGAATGAATAAATGAATTTTGGTCCGAACCTTGGGTTTTGACCAAGCGGGCCCGGGGTCTGTTTTTGACTTTTTGGGGGAAAAGTTGGGAAATCTAAATATATGCAATGTAATTGATTCCTTTAGAAATATTTGATATTATTGAGTCGTTTTTGAATAGATACGAGTGGTTTGGAGGTGGATTCTAGAGGAAAATCTGTGATTGAGTATTGAGTGGCCTTCGGAGCGAGATAAGTGTCGTGTTTAACCTTGGCTTGAGGGATTAAGTATTATTCGCTTTTTTGCTACGTGTTTGTATGTTGAGTACAACGTATAGGTGAGGTGACGAGTACCTATGCGTTGTTGTCGAGTCATAACATGCGAGGGAGTCTTATTATTGTAATCGTTGTATTCCTTGATCATATTGTTCATGATTAGACTAGCTATTCACTATGTTGAACAACTCTTAGTATGTTTCACGGAAATTGGTATTGATTGGGTGTTGACTCAATGTTGAGGTTAGTAACGTGGAATTGAATGTTGAAGTAAGACTTGTTCTTGATAAATCTATCTCCCTGTTGTTATTGTTCATTGTCTTGGTGAGGGAGAGTGTTAAAGCACGAAGGATGATGTCGTGCAACTTTTTGTGACTGAGTGTTAATGCACGAAGGGTGATGTCATGCCATGTTATGAGAGAGATTAATGCACAAAGGGTAATGTTGTGCCGTTTCTATTGTTTCTTATGGTGAGGTTGATAGTAAAAGCACGAAGGGTGATGCCGTGCACTTTCCTTTATTGCGTTTACTTGTTTCTTTCTGTTAAAGATATATCGATTGATCATGTTGTGATTCCTTGCCATGTAATCCCCTCAGCATGTCACCTTCCCAATATTTCTTGCCTTGCTTCTTTAGTTGTTGTTATTGTTGTATATATTAATATATATTGCACAGGTTTAATTGTAGGTGTCTTGTCCTAGCCTCGTCACTATTTCTCCAAGGTTAGACTCGACACTTACAAGTACATGGGGTCGGTTGTACTAATACTGTACTCTGCACTTTTTGTGCAGATTTTGGTACAGGACCGAGTTGACCTTGAGTCTTGCTGCTGGCTCGATCTGTTTGGAGACCCAAGGTAGTCATGTTGGCATCCGTAGGCCCTGGCGTCCCCTTCTATGCATTTCCTTTATTGTTTTATTTGTATCGAAAACAGTTGTATTTCCTTCAGACACCTTACCTGTAGCTAAATCTTAGTAGTCCGTGGATTATGACACCATTTTCTGGGTAGTTGTGTATAAGCATTAAAGTTGTTATGGATTTCCGTGCTTTTCTTTTTACCTTGTTATAGCTTATTTACTGGTAATAATTGAAATGTATAAGAATTTGGCTTAATAATCTCTATCATTGGCTTGCCTAGCAAGTGAAATGTTAGGTGCCATCACGGTCCTGATGGTGGGAATTCTGGATCGTGACAGTTATAATCTCCAATTCTAGGTGTATGTAATTCTTTTCCTTGCTGTGAACCGATGCTGTAATATTGAGTAGGTCATCGGCTATCCCAATTTGTTAGAATGACTTATTATATCTTCTTCTATTCAGAGTTTGGTGCATATCCGTTGTACATGTCATTCAAAGTTGTCGGTGGAAATTCTCGTAGACTCTCCTTCAACCTCCTAGCAGCTTCAGAACTTCTTTCACTGAGGTTCTTAGAAGAAGCTATTGTTTCCTAATTGTCACGAGCCGGAGGTAACAACATCATTTCTCTCTAAAACTGATTAACGAATTCCCGGAGTAACTCAGTGTTTCTTGCTGGATCTTGAAGATATCCTCCATTCGCTATTCAAGTTTTTGTGCTCTAGTATGTTCCTTGATAAATACTTTGGCAAGTTCTGCAAAAGAGTTAATTAAATTTTTGGATAGTAGAGAATACCGAGTTAATGCTTATTTCATGAATGTTTCTCTGTATTTCTTCACGAGAACTAATTCAATCTCTTATTTTAGCAAGTCATTTCTTTTGATTCCTGTTGTATATGCTATGACGTGATACCCGGGATTTGACGTCCCATCTTGAACTTTTTGGAATTGGTAACAGAGCCGAAGTTTCTTTACAAGGTTGTTGTGAGAATTTGTCCATATCAATCCCTTGGATTATGAGAGGAATTCCTGAAATTTGTTTTGTATGTTTACCTTGCTCCTCGTTCTATTTCTACAAGGTAAAAGTTAGGTTTTGCAAATTTGAATTATCAATTATACCGGAACCTCCCAATCCAGCATCATTCAGGAGTCCCCCGCTAGTAGAATTTTGGGATGCAATAGCAAGAACAACTCTTGACGTTGCTGATGACCTAGTGTTGACGACCAATTTTGACCCTCTATTTTTTAATTAATTTAATACGCTTCCTAATCACCAGTAACATAATAAAGTATATTTAAACCATTTTTAAAAGAATTATTCCAATAGCCTACTACATATGTTTTATAATAATAATAATAATAATAATAATAATAATAATAATAATAATAATAATAATAATAATAATAATAATAATAATAATAATAATAATAATAATAATAATAATAATAATAATAATAATAATAATAATAATAATAATAATAATAATAATAATAATAATAATAATAATAATAATAATAATAATAATAATAATAATAATAATAATAATAATAATAATAATAATAATAATAATAATAATAATAATAATAATAATAATAATAATAATAATAATAATAATAATAATAATAATAATAATAATAATAATAATAATAATAATAATAATAATAATAATAATAATAATAATAATAATAATAATAATAATAATAATAATAATAATGATAATAATAACAATTATAATAGTTATTAATATTAATAGTATATTTATGATTATAATGGTAAAACTTATTTTTGGAAGTGTGGTTATAAATCACCTTTGTTTTAAAATTAATTAATCAATCGGCCAGTTATATAATTCCCAAATTTATCTACAAATTACTAATTATTTCAAATATAAATTAGCTAAGAAAATATATACACATTTAGTAGTTCATTAATAATATACTTTATTATGAATTATTAGGATTAGAGAAGTATAATTAAATTAATTATAATAAAAGGGGATAAAATCGCAATAGGCTATGTCTACAAATGATAATTTTTTAATTGAAGTGGCTATATCCTTAATTCTATTTTTTCACCTGGTCCTACCCATCAAAAGCCCAAATAAAATTGTCCCAACAAGCCACTGACCCGGTCCGAAATTCACCTGCCCAACTCCCCTCTTCCATCTCATCAATCCATGCCACAATGTGTGTGCCAATCGCGGCTTAACAGGTAATACATTCATTCATCATAGTCAACCCCAACCGTTGATCTCATATCCATCAAACGACCAACATTTTTCCCTTTTATATCTATTTTATTTTACTAAAATTATCCTAACCCTCCGATCATCTTTGATTCAATAGCTTTTAAAAAATCGTTTTAACTATTTCTTTTTACAAAAAATCCCAATTGTTGATCAAAACTGATCAACGGCTCACATTCACCCAACCATTAAAAACCTATTTATTCCCAAGGTCAAATCCTAATCCCCCATAACCTTGCAGAGTGTCGCCCCCATTCTCTCTCACTCTCTCCTCTCACCCCATTACCCATTCAACCCTAGCCGCTACCGATGGTCCACCACCGACCGACCTCCTCTCTCCTACTTTTCCCATCACCACTAGTATCATGTCACCTGTCTTTTCTCCCTCGCCTCGTCATATTTCTGAGATCATCAGAAATCTCTGAACTTCCAGTGGTTGTCATTCGGTTAACCATATAAGGATCTTGAAGATCCAGAGGTCGCATGGGGAAATATCCGCAAGAACAGGCGAGTCATAGCATCTTCAGGACTCAGAGCATCTCAGACCAGTGGAGATTCAACTCTCTCTGCGGAGATCTAAGCCTAATGGTTCCCTCTTCCTAACATCAATCTCTCCTAGGCATCTGAAAAGGTGAGTTTCTTCAATCTCAAATAATCTTTTTCTTCTGCCTCCCCCTTCTTCTTTCAATTTTAGAGAACCGTCAGTTTTTGAAATTCAAAACCCGAGTTCTGGTGAGCCACAACTATGGCTATAAATACCGGAGTTCATGACTTTCACTGACATCTAGATACCACAACTGAAACTTACTAACTCACTTTAAAACACTCTCAATCTCTCAGCTCTAACTTATTTTTCTTTTTGTTGTTTTCAAATTCGGTCGAGCTTGAGTTCTGGGTTCGATTTTGGAGACGGATCTTTGACAATCTTGTTCTAGCCCTAGTTTGCTGCTCAGCATAAGGTTAGTTGCCTTCTTCACTTTCTTCCTTCCTTTTCTTTTCATGCCCAGTGATGTTTATACTTTAAGTTGAATGTATGCCATAGATGTAGTGAAGAATAACTATTTTGTGGGAATTATGTTTGGCTAATCCTAGAATGGAATCATCATATGCCTTAATTCTTTAATTCCATATATGTCTTAAAATGTTCTAAAGAATTCTTTATTAAGGTTTAGGGACTTAGGCAGTAGGAGTTGTTTGCAAGTGAATTTTGTCCTTCAATACCTATGCAAATATCACGCTTTAGGAAATTGAATGTTTAACTGATTCTTTACATAATAACATGCTGACAATTGATTTTCGTTTGTTAAGATCAAGTTCATGAAGGTGTAAGGTCCTAAACACGATTCTAACAAAGTTTGTATATGTGATAAGGTGTATAAGCACAATATGTGTTAGTCAAATTTTCTTAGTTATTGTGGAATCATGTATCCAAGCCTGTGAATCAACTTGAAGGTTGATAATAACTTTGTTCCTACCTCCCTTGTTGCTTTGAGCTGTGATTGCAGAATATCATCTCCTATATAATTAAGAGTGATACAAAGTTATGTTATAGATAAATCTTTTCTATAAATCATGCCTATAGATTCCACTGCCTAACATAAATTAGACTTGGCGTTAACAAATGAACATGTTTAAGGAGAAACTTTTGTCTTGATTAAACACCTAGATTCTGGAATGATAGGATGAATAATTGTCTTCTCTTCTCTATTTGCATTTGCTAAAAGTCAAGCATGAATAAGATTTTTGTGATAATTATGAGATATTCCCTCTGTTTCAATTTAGATGACACACTTTTCTTATAAGCTCGTTCCAAAAAGAATGACATATTTTTTAATTGAAAATAATTCAACTTTAAACTCTTCATTTTATATTTTTTACCCTTAATGAGAAGGTTTTATAACAATACAAATATCATGGCCCCGCAAAACTTTACCCCTTAAGCTTTTAAGACCACAAGTGTAATGACCTGACTGGTCGTTTTGCTTTCTAGGTTTCCATTCCCCTAATTTAAACTCCATGTATGTGCTTTTGTTATTTTATGACTTGCGGGGATGGTTGGTTTAGGTTTGGAAGGGTTCGGGTTGAAATCGGAACACTTAGTTCCTTGATAGTGGCCTAAGATGGCTAAGTTTGAAATAAGTCAACAGTTTTAATAAACGACCTCGGAACTAGGATTTGATGATTCCAATAGGTTCGTATGATGATTTTGGATTTCGTCGTGTGTGCGGATCGGGTTTCGGATGACCCGGGAGCGTTTTGGTGCTTAATGTTGAAAATTGGCACATTGAAGGTTTTCTAGTTCTTTAAATTTGGTTTGGAGTAGACTTTGGTGTTATCGAGGTCCGTTTAGGATTCTGATCTTGGGAATAGGTCCGCATGGTGATTTATGACTTGTACACAAAATTTAGTGTCAATCCGAGTTGTCTCAGTATGATTCGGCATGTTCGGAGTTAGCTGAAAAGTTTGAAGTTCATAAGTTCATTCAATTTGGTCTTAGGGTGTGATTCTTGGTTTCGATGTTGTTTTAAGTGTTCCGAGGGTTCGAGCAGGTCCATACTATGTTTATGGACTTGTTGGTGATATTGGGCGGGGTCCCGGGTGGCTCAAGTATGTTTCGGATCTCCCGGAGCTAAGTCCAAAACAGTTGTTGCTGGTTCTGGTTTCCTTCTTCGCAAATGCAGAGGTCCTCACGCGATCGCGATGAAAGATTTGGGTAGTGGGTTGATTTGTTCTTCGCGTTCGCTTTCACGAAGGTTTGAGTTCCTAGGCCTACACATTCGCAAAGGCTCTATCGCGTTCGCGTAGAAGAAAGGGACCTGGGAGGGGGTCAGCACCCATTACACTTCGTGTTCGCGAAGGTATTGTCGCGTACGCGGTGCTCAGGTAGGACAAGCCTTCACGATCACGAGACTTCCCTCACCTTCGTGATGAAGGTTTCCTGGTCCTGGGGGAGCTTTGCCTTCGTGTTCCCGAGGTTTCTTCCGCGATCACAAAGAAATATCGATGGGCAGTGGATGTTACACCGCATGTTTTCGTACGTAAAAGTACGTCGTAAGTCAATTGATGTAAGCTCGAAAATGAAATCTTGTTCGAAAGTATATAAAGTAATTTAATGATATTACATCTCGTATTTCCTCTCAACATATACACGACTAGGTTGAGGACGAATGCACTTAAACGTGAGAAAGGAGATTTGGACAAATAAAAACGAGTTTCTTGCTTACACGACATGCCTGCTTCACCAGCTTACTTTTCGTCCTACTTGCTTGAGCTACTCGACACATGCCTAAATTATTTAAGGAGGATGAGATACATGTTTAAAAATAGAAAAAAGAACCAACATGTATCGGCTAATTGATTAAGTAGGTGACAAGTCGGTGCATTACCTACTTAAAAATGTGGACCAAATTAAAAGTTAAAGGAAAAGGGTAGAGATGGGCAGCCAAACCCATCTTCCCAAGCCCATTAGTAGGGCCATATATACATAGATATATCTTTATTTCACTTAGAGAACAATTTAGAATCTCTCTCTCTCTCTCTCTCTCTCTCTCTCTCTCTCTCTCTCTCTCTCTTGTAAAGACTCTCTTGTANCTCTCTCTATTGCAATGTGAAGAAGCTCCAAAATATCATCCCAAAATCTCTCTCAACGTTATCCAAGGGTTCAAGACCAAATCCACAAGTTGGTAAGGTAATTTCTCTGTTGGAAGATCAAGATCACCTAGTTATCTCTCTACTTTGTTGTTTGGGGTAAAGAGCTTATTTGAGATTGAAGTAAAGATTAGTTGGACAAGTATTGTTTCTTCCAAGGTAAGGTTTAACTTCTCCTATATGTATTTAAGATCATCTATGTATATCTAATTGGTTTGATAAAGGAAAGTTATGAAATAGGTTGAACTTCATGTTGAAGTGTTATAGTTTCTGGACTATTTTGGAGATGAATTCTTGATGTTTTATGGCTGAAAATCAGTAGAAATAACTTAAGAATACTATTGATATTGTGGTTGATGTGTTTGGAAGAAGATAAGGCTTGGATAAGTGTTGTTAATATTGTAAAACCGAGTTTAATGCTCATTTGTTGTTATTGTTGCCGTGCCATTATTGGTCTGTAGTGAGCATATTTCTAAATTGAAATTCTAGTTGGGTTATTCAAGAATGAGCTTATTTATATATTGTTTGTTGTGTTTAATTTGAGGAAAGTGAAAAGAATAAGGGGAGATGCTGTCCAAAATTTCATAGACGAGCTAGTCGCTCATTAGTGTTGAGTTCTAGCTTCTGTAAGCTTAACAATGGTCCTTATTGTTTGTTGTAGATTGAAGTACTAACGGGCTGAACCGACGTCGTGTGGTTAGGTAAACAACAAAGGTATGTTAAGGCAATCCCTTATTTCCTTTTGGCATGATCCATATGATACAAACAAAACGAGCAAACGCCCAACTTTCACAAATGACTCTATTCATAGAAGTACTAGGGTTGCCTATGTTCTTGATTTCCCATGTGTCCTATTATTATATCATTTGTTCATGGGTCTCAGAAAATACGTAAGTTGATAAAGTTTATTTCATGATATCAGTCGAAGGCATATTGATCTTATTACTTTCCGAGAGATCTTATTAACTTACTTCTGTATGCATTGCATTCATTTATACATGTATATTGACCCATGACCATATGGCGTTATATACGCATATATTATATATATATGGGGTATGGGGAAAGGTTACGGCGTTATATATGCACCACCACCTGATCAGCTGGTATACGTTGACGATTTCTTCCACTGAGGCCGAGATGATATGATGGGAGTCCCTCAGAGGATTGACGATGTTATATACACAAATACCTATGCATAATATGATATTTATACACATATGCATGACATCATAAATGTTTCATCATTCATAGAGCTATTTAGACTTACATGTTGAGTCCTTTACTCCATATTGTTTTCATGTCGTACATACTCGGTACATTATTCATACTGACGCTCCTATTTCCTGGGGGCCTACGTTTCATGCCCGTAGGTGTAGGTTGATGGTCCCCCTTCTTAGGATCCTTGCTCAGCGAGAGTTGGTGTGCTCCATTTGATCTGGAGCTGCTATTGGGTTTTGGTACGATATTTTTGTATACATATATGGGTATGACAGGGCCCAGTCCCATCCTTATATAGTTGTACACTCTATTAGAGGTCTGTAGATAGTCATGTATAGTTGGATAGTGTGTGACCTTGTCAACTCGCCCTACCGTATTCTGCATGTATATGTATATATGTCTTTTGGGCATGTTTCCTCACGTATGTTATTCACATGATTCAGTAGTCTATTGACATATGTTATTCATGACCTACCCTTATTTCATGTTTATATCTTAGACTTATGATTAGGGATGTTCGACAGGTAGGACTTAGGCACTCGTCATGGCTAATCGATTTGGGTAGTGACAAAAGTGGTATCAGAGCAGTTCTGACCTAGAGTTGTCTACAGACCGTGTCTAGTAGAGTCTTGTTTATGAGTGTGTTATGCACCACACTTATAAAAAGTAGGCTGCAGGACATATGGTGTCACGCCCCAAACTCAGGGAACGCGATCGGTGGTTAACCGAGAGAACCCGGCCGAGCAAGCCTATTAGACTTCCTTCTACCCAAACTCATCTATGAATAAAGAGGAGATGTGCTCCATTAATCAATCACTGAAAAGATTTTTATTAACAACTTCCTTTTCACTCCCATTAGTAGCTTCATTCATAATTTCCAAAACATTACGAGTTTATAGAATTAATGAAAAATATAATTTCCAAGTACCAACATTTCTAGTTCAATTCCCAACATCAACCATAATCCACAACCTGTCTACGGAGCCTCTAAATACAATAGAAGAGTGATATGGAAATTCCGGTAACAAGGCCCCGGCTATACCTCAAAACACTGTACATGAGAAACAAAAGATACATGACCCCGAAATAAAGTGGGGATTACCAAATCAGCTGAAAAGAGTGTACTGCTATCACTTATCAATGCCGCCTGCTGAAAAACTACCTGCATCCATTAAAGATGCAGGACCCCCGGCAAAAGGGACGTTAGTACTGTCGAATAGCACCAGTATGTATAGCTAAAAATCCTCTTTCAAAATAGAATGCCCATATAAGAAAAGGCAACACATAGAAACAGCAAGTCACAATCAACAATAACCAAACGTCCAGTTAATACATAATAATTTTCAAAATATGAACTTCATATATAATTTTGGTTGGGAGATCATTAGCACTGATATACCACCGTCTTTGTTAGCACGGAGTCCGATCACTCCCGATCGGCTAGGCCATCTCCCCACGAACAATGTAGCTTGACATGTGATGCGAAAGAAAGTTGTTACCAAGAGAAGTACCACCATATGCGCAATATGGCGTCTGATCTCCACCCGATCAGCTAGGCCGCCTTCCCACATATGCCGTGTGGGTTGACTTTTCCAATCCACAAAGATTCCAGTTTCATCCCAATTAAGGGAAATAATATCACAATTTCCCAAAGGTTCCAATTTCATCCCAAATTGGGGGAATAATCACAATCCACCCCTACACCGGCACGTGTAGTTTCAGGTGTGGGCCTTATGACCCACCCTTCCTCGGTATTGCTAATGATGCTCCCAAAATAGTTTTGATTTGATTTGCAAACAGAAATATCATAAATACAATTGTACTCACCTCAACATCTTTCACATTGTATGAATTCTTATTAGTATTTCTAGTCATTCACAATGACAATATTTCCTTGGCTCATTAGTCCATTCACAAGATTCTTTATTCCTGGCACGATGGCCGTATTTCATATTCCACACTTTCACCTCTTTTAATTTCAAAGATCACCATCAAGTATCAACATATAGGATATTTCAGAAATCATATACTTCAAATCCTTTTGAAATGGAAACTTCAAACACAAATGGTTTCTTCCCAAAGAATGAGTCATACCATCCAACAATAGAAACACACATGAAAATCATAAACAATCAATACACCATTTATTCTTACAATGCTCTTCCCTAGCAATGACAATGTACCAGTTCAACACATGAGTATATAGAACTCGAATCACACTAGATATATTTATAAAGCAAAGTATTAGTTAAAGCAGCCACTAATGGGCATGAATTCAGTACAAAAGCTCTTAGGCAAATTCTATTTTCCAAATCACTTTTAACACAGTTGAGTCGAGGCTCATTTCATATTCTTTATCGTATATTCTCAAATCATTTGCACTACTAGACACAATCATAACTTAAATTCTTGGCACGTTGGCCACACTCTATACCCCCAATTAACTTATTTCACTTCAAACCATCTTTATAGATTATCAACAATAAGATATTTCCAAATCAAGACTTTAGGTACACATACGAGCAATTAAGAGTCTTAATAATATTGAGATTTTCTCACACAATTTGGCATACTATCTTTCATTGAAAACACGACTCAAAGCCATAACCTTTTAATACGCAACCCATACTTTGAAACTTACAGAAACATTATGAAATTCAATTCCAAGAGAGAAAGTTTAGCCAACATACCTCAATCGAGCTTCCTTAACTCTAGAATGATCCGAAATTCTTAGCAATCCCGATCTATTTTGAGACATAACAAAATTGAACCATAATTAGGAAGATATTCATGGTCTCAGCTCATTTGAGCATTTTATCAGACACTAGGTGTGCAAATTTAACCACAAGGTTCTTCTACAAGATTTCCTTCACTCCACAACCCAATCCTTACTTATTTCACCTCAACAATCTTCCCACAATTCTTATTGGTACATGCATGTATAAATAATAATCTCATACCCATGAATCATACTCCTAATCAACCATCTTCTACCCAAATTCGAAATTGAAAACTAGGGTATGGAACCTTACCTCTTAGCTGAATAACTTGTGGGTTTTTCCTTGTTAATCTTCCACGATTTGAGCAAGACTTGATGAATAATTAGCCTAGGGTTTTCCTCTCTCTAAAATACTCTCCCTTCTCTCTAAAACATCAGAGTTTTTGCTCAAAAATGACCCAAAACGTGTATTTAACGAAGTAGGGTCGGGTTTTAAAAACCCAAAAATGGAGCTCCGGAACAGGTTCTGCGGTCGCATATGCGACCGCATATCGATCGCATAATTACAGACCAAAACAATCAAAAAGCTGCATGTGTATGCGATCACTATGCGGTCTGCATAACTGTTATGCGATCGCATAATGCACCGCATAACAGTTATGCGGTCGCATAGCCGACCGCATAATTATCCCCAGACTGGCCCTTCTCCTGCTCACTTCTGCGGCCATTATGCGGCCCGCAAAGTGATTATGCAGTCGCATAATGGACCACATTAACGCGCTTTTCCGCCAAAAATTTTCCTTTACTTTCCGGTGCATTGTTCAACCCAAAAAGTCCGAACCGCAGCGAGCTTGCTCGCCTCGAAGATTTTATACCATCCTCAAACACGTAAGCCTACTCCGGCACCACAAAACCTTGAATTCACTTGCGAAATTTACTGGGCTTTACACTGAAATACTTCAAAATTTTCCGGGTTGTTACATATAGGATGGTATCCTCCCTCTTATCTTAGATCGTGCGGTATAAGGATTCATTTTCCTAATAATATGTTATGTTTTCAGCAATGCCTAAGAAGGCTACAGTCGCCCAGAAGGGCAAATCTATGTTTGTGGCTGATGAAACTACGAGTCGAGCGCCACGAGTTACCAGGGCTCGGGGAGAGTCTTAGAGTGAGACTCTATCTCAGACTTCACATACCCCACCCTCTCTAGAGGATCTCTGAGGGGCACCAACTCTAGCGCCCGCCCCAGTAACCCCAGCTCCTCATCCAGATGCACCGGGCCAGTAGACGAGAGATATTATTCAGCTATTGACTCAATTAGTGGCTGCACAGGCTCGGCGCTAGGAGGTAGGTATTGGTAATACAGATAGGGCCACCAGTGCGAGGGTTCAGGACTTCATTAATTTAGACCCCCCGGTATTCACTGGGCAGATCCAAATGAGGACCCTCGGGTATTTATCGATAGGATACAGAGGACTTTGAGGGTAATGAAGGCCACTGAGACTAAATTAGTTGAACTAGCTTCCTATAGACTTCGGGATGTTGTAGTTAATTGGTACGAGTCTTGGGAATTGTCCAGAGGTGAGGATACCCCTCTAACAGTATGGCAGGAGTTTACAGAGGCTTTTCTTCATCATTATTTTCCACCAGAGCTTAGATGAGCTAGAGTTCATATGTTCTTGACCATTCGGCAGGGTAATATGAGTGTCCAGGAGTACAGCCTTCAGTTTGATTCATTGGCTAGGTATTCTCCCACTATTGTAGCTAAGATGG